TATAGATGTATATTTTCTAGCTATGCCTTATGGATATCCCGCTCTTCCTCCCTCCTCCTCATATCCCTCGATTTTCGAAATGCTGCTACTCCTGGGGCGTGCATGTATATCCATTTCCATTTCTGGGGGCCTGGGCGCTGTGGCCGCGCTGCCTCACTATCGATCGGTGTCCTCAGCATAGAAGTACTCCTTGCCTCACTAGCCGGGCGATCTGCTTCAATTTTTATTCCGATCCTTTGCCATATTTTCATCAAATGGACGGCGATCATCATCGTATCGCACCGGATCCGTAGTAACGCGATCGAAAACCGTCTGCACACGCAGAAATCATGTTAGGCATCGACCAGATCGCAAGGTCACTCTTTGAAAATTGCTGTTTCATTTTTCATTTTTGGATTAAATATGGAAAAAAAGTGAGAATGAGCTGGTAGCGAATGAATGAGAGTGTGAGGATGAGAGCTTCAAGCTATTTGCATGATGGACACTATGAATTCAGATTGGCAGCAGAAGAGGCACGACGAGAACAGAAGACCGAATCGGGACCATTTGCCGTTCGAAAGTCTACGCTTGCTTCAAACGCCCCTGTCAAGGAAAAGGTCTGTTTTTTTTCCTTGGAAAATTTCATGTTTCATGCGATCTACGGTCTCCTCAATCGGTTATGTATCGCGTTTTTCCGTCTATAGAACTGTTTTGCGGCGCAGTACGGCTTGGGGGATACTGGATGGTACCTAGCTAAGCCTTTACAGACCACCTTATGAAGACCTGTAAATTCTTGTAGCCAAAAAAGGCTCCCTTCCTCTTTGCAGTTTCACTTTTTCTACAGCTCTCACCAAATAAGCCCTGCTAGTCACTGAGGCTTAACAAAAGGAAGTAGAAAAGTGCAAAATGCCCCTCCAGAGCCGAACAGCGCCTCGCTCTGTTTTCTTGTAGAAATCCGTCCTTTCTTTCAATTCCGTTTCATATCTGCTTTTTTATGCTGATTTTCAAGCACGAGGAATTTAATTGCTTTCATGAATGTTCTCGAAACTGCCTGAAGAAAGCTCATTTCGAAATTAATCGCATTTCTCCTTTTTACGAGATGTTTTGCATTTATAATCTGTTCAATAACTACTCGTATACTTGTCATTTTCAAAAGGGTTACGAAATCTGATCCTGATTATTTCTACCGTATTTCACACTAGTAACTGGAATTCCTAGTATAGTCCGTTATTCACTAAGAATTCAATGCCAGCTGCTTTCGTTTCGTTCCATTGAAATTGTTTGAATTCAAAATTTGATTTACATATTCACGCAATTTCATCGTGAGAATTTCTCGGGCTATTCTCTCGCGCTACGAAATATCCTATTCTGAGGGCGAGACCCTGCCCGAGCTATACATTTCGGCATCGCCAAAGTCCTGAAGTTCTTTGGCATTGAATCGAACTGAGGAGAGTGCCAACGAGGACAATAGACCTCTTTGCTTCAGCATCTTGGCGGCGGTCCCTTTAGAAATAATGGATATTGATTTTCTGGAAATGAAGAGGATTTTCTCTTCACACTATTCAGTGTTTGTAGATGTTCAAAGCAGGGCAAATCCTGAATGGGGTTTTGGTCGAGTCCAAACGACCCCTCCCTCGTTCCCTATTTATTGAGCTGCCGCGAAAAACTGCGTGGAAAATACGGCACCCCTCTCTACCATTTCTTTGGTTTTCCCCATCTTCCTACCTTTTTTCCGGAATTTTCCAAAAGTTTTCCTACTTTTACCCGAAATTTTGCTCTCGAGCGGGGGAGGGGTAAGTGGAAGGGTATGTGGTACACATGAAACAGAAAAAACCGCAAAAAATCAACAGCTCTCTCAGAAAACCAGAATACAAATACGACCCCTCCCTTTGAAATGTACCTGGAACAAGAAAAGTCGACTATCATAAAAAAATTTCTTTCAGCCCAAATACGACCCCCTCCTCTTCCAACTAACAAAAACGCCCCCCCCCTTCCTGTTGGGGAACTCCCAACAACGATGTGCCCTGGTTCAGATTGGGCCATGTCTCAGAGGCTAACAAAAAGAGATGGAAAAGGAGCTTCAGGATAATACAAGGAACATTGCAGGGACCATCGTCATTGTTCATCTTTTCCGAAGATAATTTCATCCGACGTAATGCGAAGGCGATCATAGAATGGGGCCCATTCGAATACTTCATCCTACTTACCATTATAGGTGAACAGATTTTCATTTTTTTGCTGTTATTTTTTTCCCATGGCGGTCTGTTTTTGACTGAGATGATTGTGAAAAGACGGGTACATAAAAAGCCGTCAGCCGGAACTAGGGTTGTAGAGAAGCGGTTAGTTGTGAATGCATTCGTTTTTGAATACTTGACGACTTTGTGCTTGTGTTGCAGGAAACTGTGTCGTGCTCGCCATGGAACAACATCTTCCCAAAAACGACAAAAAGCCGCTTTCGGAGCTACTGGTAAGATTTAGTGGGGATTCTTGTGAAGTAGAAAAACTTACTGAAGTATTCCCAGACGCCTCCGTATTCCATAAAAAACGCAGGAATACCGATGCTACTAGGTCATTAGAAATTGATAGGCTTCGCAAAATCAAATGAAACCGCTGCCTTCAAAGGGGAGTAGTGCAGCTCTCCTGCAAGGTCAGGTCACTATCATCCCACAGTCGTATATCTCACCCAATGGGCGGTAAATAACTCTGACAAAGTTACTGTTATCCTCTAGTAGCTTTTTATTCGACTAGATTTCTGATTCACAGCATTACCTTCAAGTGCTATCGGGCAAAACAATTTTTGAATGTATAAGCTAGAAATTTTCAAATTTTCGTGAAAAAGACGTTACAGCATTATCAAAGCAGGAACTTATAAAATTGCCGATTTATAATTCACAGGTAGACCAGTCACACTAAAAAAAGCCCTGCAACTCTTTAATGATCTTGTCGAGCCGCGAATATCCAGTATACCTGGATGGCTTGACCGGAACACTTGCTCCGCCGCCCATTCAAAGGTTCCAGGAAAAACGTCTGAAACAGTTGTTGCTTGCTGGTGAAAGGACAGGGGATGTAGTCGTCGCCCAATGAATTCCTTTTTTGGGATGCGACACGCATTCTACTTCTAATCGGAATTGTTGGGGTTTGTTGAAGGTGATGTGCCTATACAATGATTTTCGAGAGCCAGGTGATGTAAAACTTAGTGTTCTTATCCTCCTAGAAGAATCTCGTACCGAATTCCATCGACGGAGGGGGGGGGGGTAGAAGGCTCGACTGACCCGCGCGGGAGCCGATTAGGAAGTTGATCCCCAAACAATGCGCGTGATAGGTCTTCTACTTGTCACTACACCGCCTCGGCCATCACTTGGTGGTAATCATCGAAAAGTGAGAATTTCCATGGAAGCTGCTTTGCGCTCCAACAAGTGATGGGAGCAGCGTTGGAGAATTCCAAATGAGGGGCACTGTTGGTCGCTGCAAAGAGAGGGGGTCGTACTCGAATTGAGAATCGCCCATTCAGACAGGTAGTTGCTCGATCTCTCTACCCGATCCCTCAGTTTGATGAATTCCTTTTGACGGGGGGGGGTTTGTGGTGAGGGTCGATTTGAAGACGGCATGGAGAACGGGGTGGAGGGGAGGAAGATGGTGTGTAACGAATTTCCCGTATGGGGATGAAGTTTTTTGAATGGAAAACCCTTGTTGTTGAGATGGGAAATTTTTATAGGGTTGCCCCAAGTTTTCACCACTTCTGTAAGTGCAAAGTGTTTTTGTTTTCTTGTTTATTAATCGTACGCCGTGGAAAAAAATGCGGCTCTCTATTCTTCTCCCTAGAGCTGAGGCTAAGGGCCGAAATTTCTCCCAGTATAAGTTCCTTGCGGTCATCAAACTTCATGTAAAAAAAAGAACTCGAACCCCGTGATTCTTTAACATCTCCTTTTATTACTTCTGGTTTCTCAGGATTTACCATGCCCTTCTCCCACCTCAGATTGCCAGGAGGACAAGTAATTGAGGTGTGATTATTCCACGCAGAAGTACGTCCTCACGTGAAGTACATCACGACGATCCCTCTAACGAATGTTTTTGAATATTTCATGAGGCATTTTGATACTATGTGGGGCTCGCGTAGTTCTAGCCATACCCGTAACTCAGATCCTTCCGAGTAGTTGGAACCGTAAGGGGTCTGAGTTACTGGTATGGCTGCAACTTCGAGAGGGATTCTTGAAGTAGGACATATGAACATCATGCCCTAATCCACAATACTGTACTGGTAGCCATGTTAGTGTCTCAGATGAAAAATAGAATGGTGACCGTAATATGCATTTTTGAGCTGTGAAAGTCCACTTATCATTGTAGCACTACCACTTCTTTCCTTTTCTTAGTTAACCCCAAGCTTCATTTTCTTCCAGAATTACCCTTCTCTTATGTAAAAATGTCAACCTTGGGGTTTTGCCTTCATGGTTCGCTTGTATAGTTTCGCGTAATAACGTGTTTTCCCCTTCCACGTGTTTAAATCAAATTTCAACAGCAACATTGATATGCGAACACAGCAACCTAAAGACCATTTTCAAAGCTGTTGGAGACGGTGTGATTGCTGTAGATGATGGGGCGTGTCGGTGAGGCGGGGCTTGTCGCGGCGCCAGCGCCACCACTTATTGAAGCGTTTATCGACAACAATTGGTGGAAAATGGCTGATGCGAACGACACGATGCAGTTCCGTTGCTTGCCGAAAAGAAAAGAGAAAAGTGGATGGCGCTGCGCCAAATCCATCCCCGTTACACACCCACCATCCACAGCAAACAAGGGGGGTTTACAGAACGCATCCGAAAAGAGTAGTCATGTTAGTGTATCAGATGGAGATTAGGGTGGTGACCGTAATATGCACCTAAAGTCACCTTCCTAGACAGAAATGAAACAAAATTCTTCGTCTACCGTACTTGGTGACGTAGTTGTAGCAGTAACTTTACTTTGTTTTTTTGAAATAGGTAGCCCTAGTCAGGAGGTGGTCATTATCTGAAAGCCCCAATTATTCTATGGATGAAAGACGAATTGTCATTTATAGTGCAATGTATTCGAGGCATTTGATTTTACGTTAAATATGATATTTTAGGAGCGCACCGAGCCATACTTCATGGGTATTTTCTGCTTAGAATGCGTACTGAAGATTATTGCTTTTGGTTTCATTGCTCACAAAGGATCGTATTTAAGATCCGGATGGAACATCATGGATTTTATAGTAGTAGTATCTGGGTAAGTACCTGTATTCGGTTTGAGTATGTAACAACAAAGTGATGCTCCTTCTTTTCCCCACCATCCCGAAATTATTGTAATATCCGAAATTTCAAGAAAAATGCTTTACAATCTTCATGCAAGAGGAGCGCAGCCTATTACCTTAGAAGTGCCTTAACTTGTTATTATTGCCGTTGAATAATATTCAAAGTAAAGTAGATTGTTGAAAGTATAGTGCTGAAAGTAAGCAGGACAAAAACTAGACCAAAACGGGTATAATCCATTCTTTAATTGGGGAGCTCCCACGTGTCCAACAAGGAAATTATTGATCTGTATCAATACCGTAGCAAGGCCTTGACTTGTTATTATTGTGGTTAAATAATGTACAAAGTAAAGTGGAGTTTTGAATTTGTGTAGCGATGAAAATAAAAGGTCAAAAGTGGACTAAAAGGGGCTCAATTCAATCTTTAAGTGGAGGGGTTCACATGTTCTCGAAAAGCAAATATTGATATGTATCAGTGATGTAGTAATAAATAGAGCCCAGAAAACTTTGGGCAGGCTAAGTGATCGCCTTTTTCTAACAGTTATAGAGTATTTATATAGGGTATTTATTCTGCATAAAACCAGTAAACCTACCGGTAATCGTATGATGTCTGGCATCCTTGCAAAACCACAACTTCCATGCTCAAATGAGAGAAAATCGAAGAAATAAACGAATCCGTCATAACATTGAAATTGTTGGCTTGTTTAGTACTGTTTTTCAATAATGTTTATAAACGAATTTACAAATAGGATGGACTCTGGATTAACATTGTCAAAATTTGCACTGCAAACTTTGAACGGTGGACATTTCTTCTATGTTTTTTTTTCTATTTTTTCTCCCAGACCTATGTTTCAAACGTTTCTTGGAAACGGTGCACTTTATATGTTATCCCGAAAAAAATTAGCTTTTTTTAATGCAAAGTTCAATTGTTATAATTGAAGGTTATTTATCTTGAATTGATTTCAGCGTAGTTACGATGCTTCCCGTATCGCCTGCCGCTGGTGGCGGTGGTACAGCTCAGGTGGAAACGGTCGATTTGCGAACATTGCGAGCTGTGAGGGTGTTACGACCGTTGAAACTAGTCAGCGGTATTCCCAGTAAGTTTTGTTGAATCTTAAAATAATATTAAAAACAAACTAATGCTAGGGCTTGCCAGTTGCCCGACTCAGGAGATTCAGTTCCTTTTAGTAGATCATTTTCCGGCGCAATTTGGCTCAAAAGGCACTCTGTGGATTCGTGTTGTAGTAGCGCATTAGCAGAGTGTAGAGGTAGTAATGTAAAAAAGTTGTAGAATGCCTGGGGAAGATAAGCTTAAAAGTCAAGGGTAAAATAGTGGCTATGGCGGCGCAACGGATAGCGCACTCGCCCGAAAAGCGTGAGGTGGGTTCAAGACGCGGTTAGGCTCAACGGGCATTTTGTAAACTCTTGTAGAGCTTGGAAATGTCAATAGTTCCATTTTTAGCCCAGTTTTTGCCCAGATCGTTCCACCCAGGCCGTAGCTCCTTCTCCCATGGACCTCAGCAGAAATCCTCATTTCCGGCAGACGGCCTATTCTTGGCACTTTCGAGCGCTGAATGTCGCCCAGCATAAGAAAACAAGAAAGAAATGGCGCGGAAGTGACGCTCGTGCCATTTTCTTGCTTTACAAGATTTATAGGTCTCGACAAAATAAACCGGCACGTGGGCAGGGATTACCGGAATGCCACCCTGAGCCAAACTGCACCCTTTTTTCCTCCTCACATGTGGGCCGAACTGATCAGTAGAGTAAATTTTCCCAGGCAGTATATGGTACTGAGAGCTGCTGAAAATCAGCTAAAGTGGGCTAAAATTGTACCAGTAACTGGGCTAGGAAACGTGAAAGACAAAAGCTTCCTGAACGTTTGGAATTGATAGCGTCGAAAAATTCATATTTTTCATTTCTACCCAAAAATTTCGTATTATTTCGTGGTGCCGCTTAGTGGATACCACAATCTGCCGAACGCACTCGTCCTTGTTCTGAACCAATTTTGCCTTGGAACTACCTAATGAGATGGAATTGTATTTGGTTATGCGCGACAGAGGCGCTAGGCGTTTGGGCTTTGATTGAGCCGCTTCCAGAGTCGGTTTCGTTATCGCAGGGGCTCGGACCAGTCGTAATGAGCCCGAACCCGAGTCCATATGGTTTCCGGTTGAAAATGGTCATTTCTGCTTTGTTCAGCTGGACCAGACGCTAATGCCGGCCTGTGAAAAATAAAAAAGCTAGCCTAAAAATTGGGTAAGAAGTAAAAAAGAGCGATGCTTTTTATATTTGACTGCTTATGTGTTGAGCAAGTGAAGTCGGAAAAGATGGACTTCAGAAGGGAGACAGGTCTATAATGGGGATTGTCGTTATCTGGCGCTATTATCTTCTTTATGAGAGCTTGTAATCACTACTCGGACATTAGCGGCGATTACTGCTATGAGACGCAATCTTTTGAAAAATGGCCTTTAGCCCAGGGTTTTTTTCCTGGAACGTGTCTCGTCTCTTAGCAAGCCTACAATGGAAACACTTAAAACTTTATAAATATTTTATTCACCGGAGCAGTCACTATGGTGATCGAAATTTCCTGATACTCCCCTTGTGTTCAGCGCTAAACTGATTCTTAAATGTTTGATGAGATGACTGGCATGAGCGTTCGCTGAAAACAGCCAGCTGACACTAAAAAAGAGGGTGAACGATAAAAGAAGCGATTCAGAGATTACTAGTAGGAGCTCCAGAGTGAGAGTGGAATCGGCAATTATCCAAGATTATTGTCGTTGGCAGCCACCTGGAATAACATCTCAAAATAAACCTATATTAAAACGACCCTCAAATCATTAAGCCATTGAGTTCTGACGGAAAAGTACCTGCCTAGGTGCTGAAAAAGGTTCCTGTAGCAACATGGTTTGGGCTCAGTAAGCTTTATCCTTGTGTAGTCATCGCATAGCGCGTAAACTAGCCTATTATCCCTTAGATAGTCAACTTAACTCGCTGTAGTGTTGCTAAGTTGAACCAGTTGTGTTCTGGCGCAAGTGTCGCGCGCGTGATACGCATTTATGGGCCTACGTTGAGATTCTGCATGACATACATACACTCCTGGTCGCTGCAAACGATAAGGCGTCTGACGGGGAATGGCCTGGACCGCAGCCAGACCAGATTTCTCAACAGTCAAAGCGAGCTCAGGATGGCATCACTGTGGAAAAGGAGCCCCCTGGCTGAGCTTCAACGTATTTCGTCACACGCCTTAACGTTTGCAGGGATCATGGCTGTGTGTGCGATCACCATGAAGATCCAATGAATTTCTATGCCCAAGGCATTGCCGCCCTAGATGTGCTCTACTGAATTCACTTTACTAGTTAACGAGACTCAGTGAGCTTTTGCTATTTCATCTGCAGATGTCTCAGAGTCAAGTAAGACTGAATAAAGATCAGCGTTGGCTTTGAACCAGTGTTCAGCGGCTTTTCCTACCTATTCAGGCATGACTGCAGAGGTGAAGGGGAGAACAATGGCAAACTGCCAGCGCGTTAATTTATTCAAAAGTTTACGGGTGTGACAAAAAAAAGGGTTTCTGAATTCTCCTCCGTTGAAAAGGCTAAAAACGAAGGGTGGTGGATGTAGATCAGTTGGTTAAATTGCGATAGTTAAACCGTTTCTTGCTAAGAATAACTCAGGAGTAGCCTTGTAATACGACTAGGGACAGTATCGTGCATCAAAAGACTATAGAAATGCAGAGGGAAGAACTAAGCTAGAAGAAGTTGACTCAAGCGCCATATTCCGCGGGAGGGAGCACTTTCCTGCGGGTTATGGCCACGGCGTATTTGCTCGTCTGCACCCTCTCATCGAGAGAACGTGACATGTTCTGACATGGTTTAGTTATACCAGAACATGTCGTACTCTCAGTGCAGTGTCTCTCACCAGACGGCATGACGTACCTGTGTCGCGTCGGAATGTCACATGGCGCGATAAGAACTGCGGATTTGAAAAGGGTGGGGTCGTACCCACGGAGGAAATTTTGGTGGTGACCTTGCTGATCAACACCTGCTGTACCTTGGGTCCCATTAGAACTGCGTCAGAACCATAATAAACACGATCTAATTTAGACAAGGTACAGTCTTGTTCGCTGCAGATGGTGGGGCGAGTCAGAGAGGGAAGGGTTTGGCACGGCGCGAGCCCGCTTCCTTTTCTTTTGGCAAACGACAAGACTATATCATATCGATCAGTCGGTTTCCAACTGTTGACGCTTCGCTTCAAACTGGTGGAAGACGAGCAGGCGCGCTCCAAACCCAGTCGCGCTGACACGCCCTATCATCGAAATCGAACAAGGCTGTACAAAATTCCGAGAATCAAGCTTCAGAAAGAATCCAACAGTTTGAAGTCACATCCGACGTTAGAGTTGCAATGTTGGAGTAAAGGCATATCCCACGCTGATCACACGAGTACTGTTGATTGTTAATCCCAGAGCCCTACTCATTGTCTGGTTACCAGTAGGTCCCAGTTGAGGAGCGTTAAATCAAGTGAGTGCGCCTACACAATCAGCGTGGAATAGTCCCTCAGGGCACAGCTGTATTGGAGTGAACTCGTCGATTACATCAACAAAATCTGTTAAGAAAATTGAGCAAATTGAAATGTTGCTCGTTTGGAAATGTTCCTCATTACTTTACAGGTTTACAAGTGGTTCTGAAGTCGATATTGTGTGCGATGGCTCCATTGCTACAAATCGGACTGCTTGTGCTGTTCGCTATTGTGATTTTTGCCATTATCGGTCTGGAGTTTTACTCTGGGGCATTCCATTCGGCATGCTACAATGATCGAGGTGAAATCGAGAATGTCAGCGAAAAGCCGTCACCATGGTTTGTTTTTCTAAAGATTTAATTCATTGCCGCTTTATTCATATTCAAAAATGAAAAGTGGGGAAAATTGTATGACAAAAGAAAATGAAAAAAAAACGAGATGAGATGGAAACAGCTAAACGAGTTATTACCTACTCGCTTTGGACTGCGCCACGAATTCACCCTCTATCAGGAATCGTAACATCATTTGAATAATTTACTGACTCGTAGACTTGAAGGCAGTTGGCACGATAAATCCCCCAAGACGACTAGGATCAATACTCCTGGCAGGATAGAATTCCGCGACCCTGGGCAGGCGCTGCATAGCGGTTTCCCCGAGGAAGGTGCCCTTATAAGGGCCCTATCAAGCCACAACTTTACGTCCCAAACGCCCGCCACGCCCGCCCGCCCACAAATGGACGACCGTTCCTGACGCTCGTATTCATTCATTTGCTAAGCAAATTATGAAGGGATTGGTATGAAGCGGCCGTGATGCTGCATGCATATATGGGTACACATATGCAGCCGTATCTTCGGTAGCGGTGATTGGCAAGATGCCTACGGGAAACTCGTCCGAAATCGATTTACAAGTCACTGAGAACGGAGGCTTTTTCTTCGCAGGATTTTGACCGTTTCACTCCGTTCTTTCGCCATTTCCCCACTATACAGCGCCCTACTAGCTAGGCTAAGTAGGAAACCATCGTGCCAACTGCCTTTATTGCAACGAACGACCACTCCGCGGCTCTGTCCTGGCTCTCTAACTGATCAAACATCTACCCATCAAGGAGCCTCTGCTTAATCTGTGTAGGAGTTGTCCTGTGGAAGAGCTACGTTGAGCCCTCCAGACGCATTCAGCCGTCACCTGACAGTCGTATCCTGTGCAGAGGCTGAGCAGTGTCAGGAGAGCTGAGTTTGGCGAAGTTTCAGCCCGTTCTACACCAGTTGTTGAAACGGGCAAGCGACAACAGTTGATGGGAAGCGGGCTGGCGCCGCGCCACAGCCAGCCCCCTGACGCGCCCTAGCATCCGTAGTGAACAAAACTACGGTCCTGCTCTGAGCACCAAACCTTAGCAATATGTGCAGCGTGGCTCGTAGTCAGGTTTCCAAGGCTAAACACGAATAGGAATGCGTTACCAATTGGCGATGAAAGTCAACTGTGAGGCCCACACACCTGAGGACTTCTCAGTGCTGAATATTGTACCCTTCGTCATTACTATACTATTCCAGTACTGATGCAGATATAGCTAATGGGTTACTCTTTTGAAGACAAATTTAAATATTGACTGAAAAACAAGTTTGTTTCGCCTTCCCTTTCTGATATATAGTGGCTAATACGACCTACATGGCCACTGAAAATTTCTCTTCACTGCGAGCTTCTGCAATCCTGCACAAGAGCTTCGAACCTGTACCTCTCTAGCTATTGCCACCTCCCTTAAGACAATCAATAGCACGAGAGCGCCAGTGAGAAGGCAAAGTGGTGGGCCTCATTCCGCCCACACGACCATCGTGGACTATGCATTCAAGGGAAGACATTGAGATCATGGCGTAGTGACTGGAAAATACCATTGAACACTTCGGCAAATAGCCGACTGAACACCGTACATTTGAAAATTATTGAAATTGGTGGTTCAAAATTTTGAAAATTATTGACGGCAAACTGCCACAGTAACTAGCTGATTAGTTTGTCCTCAAATATACGCACTTGTTTTCATTATTTTCTTCTTGAAACCACGTAATTCAGCACAAACAAAACCACCACAATGGGTGTGTACAACTGTGACGTTGAAGGCACGACATGTCTAAATAAGTGGATTGGTCCAAATTACGGTACGTCATTGGACCTTTCGTCTGTTATCAATAGTACTAATTATTTATTATCTCTTTAGGTATCACATCATTTGATAACATTGCCTTTGCTATGATCACCGTATTCCAATGTATTACTATGGAAGGATGGACGACCGTCATGTATTATGTGAGTGCTTGCGACAACTTTTTCCGTTTTTTCTCATGTTCTCCTCTACTCGAGTAACTTGGGAGCTCGTTACCAGCTAGTTATATGTATGTTTTGTAGCAGCCAGTAGGGCAAACAGTGTAGGGAACGTTAGCAAAACTGGATGGGGGCGGGCTAGGAGATGCGAGATGGTGCGGCGGCATGCGCGCCTGGAGACAGGATGATTCATGTCCCTGCCACACTTGGTGCATATGTCGCGCACGTGCAACATCACCTTTGTCGCGCCGCCGCAAATCAGACTTTTGGTACGTAGCGGTAGCAAGCTGCACGTAATCATTTTGAAAGCTGTTTGAACAGATGTTGAGCTGATTCCTTCCGGGTATGTCACGATTCAGTGGTTGAGCATTGCTGGGTCGCCGCGCTAGTGCGCGTGACTGGCGACGTCGTAGCCATCGTGTACGAGTTCTGTTGTCTCTTCAGAACATTAAAGCGATCACGGACGAACAGGCCACTATATAAATATTTTGTTCGAGGACGCTGGGATTTCGTTCACAACAAGTCCCTTGCTCGAATGACAACTTATGAATACGGTAATGCACCGATAAAGCCGCCGCGCATTCGCCCGCGCGACGAGGGCGGCCTGGCCTCACTAGATCACGACAGGGTCGCCCGCCTCCCATTCGTTCCAAACGGCTCGTCTAATTTAGCACATTCTAAGGCGGTAAAACTTGAGAAAACTCGACGATCGGTAGGAGTCCGCGCTGGAGCTACTTTTCTCATCCCTGAGATGCAGTGGGCGTGGCATTTGGACATGGCACAGAATGGGTTAGTGGTGGTAAATTTCGGTTCGATACTGAACTTGTTCTTTATTGGGCAGAGACACGACTGCAATTGTCAGAATGAAAATGTGTCTCGGAAAGCACAGCCGCCGCCACGTCTACTTGAAGCACGCAGCCACGCCTACCACATCTCAGAAATTTTGAGCATATGTCTCATGTGTATGAAGACAGCGAACCTGTTTCAGGTTCAGGGTAAGGAATTACGGTGGAAACGCATGCAGTGTAGAAGCTTAGGAGCAAATATGAAGATAGTTACACCCCCAAAGAGGAGGCTTCAAACTTTCTTTGTCATTGGAAGATTCAGAATTCAGGGTTTGCATTACTACTGTAGCTCTGAGGTTGTGCAGCGTAACACTAAGTATTGTTCTCCCGACCTCCTGAACCGCATCTAAAAGGACCCATTGTGAACTGAAATTATCGGCAATGCTGCGGTGAGCCAGTAATCGCAGCTCCGGCGGCATAATTATCGGATTTCACTGCTTCATGCAAAATTGTGAGGCTAAAAATTTTATGTAACCCACGTCTCTTGCGTCAAAATATTTGAATGGGTTGTTACGCATAAATGTGGAGATCAATTTGGGAAATGTCCGTTTAGAGGCCCAGAACCCAGGATCGCAAGTCCATAATGCTAATCGAAGAGGAATATGAGCGCGCAAGCACATTTGAATGATTAAACTTTGCTGGGGCAGATGTGGCGTAGAATATAGCTCCACAGCTATATATCCAAAGGGTTATACTCTCTTCCTAGTGAACCAGTAAAACTGGATAATTTGTTAAAAGGTTCATGTTTACTTTTATAAATAATTAGTTTTTCAGACAAACGACTCGCTAGGAAGTACGTATAATTGGGCGTATTTCATTCCACTTATTGTGCTCGGATCGTTCTTCATGTTGAATCTCGTTCTTGGTGTTCTATCCGGGTACGTGTTGCTGTTACGTCGTCGTGTCGTTCACGAAATATTCGTCTTTTTTTCCTCGGGGAATTCGTGTTGTCGAGATGAGGGACGGCGTTATTGTTCGCCGAGTAATGAGCAACGCGCTAGACGCTTTTCTGCGAAAAACGAAAATATCGCATTCGAGTTTTTTAGCGCCCCCAAGTTTTTGTAGAGATGGCAAAATAAGTTCAATCTCAGAAGATTTTCAGAATTCTGAGGCCATCAGTTGAAGTCGATTTTTAATTACACCAATCCCTTCCAGTAGTGAGGGTGATTACTGAAATGCTTGCTCTGTTAGGGAGAATTTTTGCGACATTTTGCAAAAAACGGCCCTTATCGGAATTTCTCCTCTCGTACTACTTTCAAGTATTTTTTTTCCAAAGTTCCTCCGCTATTCCCTCAAAAGACTCCCGTCGATCGCTGTTTGGGGAGTGGCAGTGTACAGGGCACTTGAGACAGGAAAACCGATAAAATTTAATAGCCGAAATTGCTGAAATCAAAGGCATACGATCTTTTCACCGGGAATCCTCGACCTATTGTGGCTCTGGTTGTGCTAATGAATAAAATGTAATAAAGGAGAGCAGAATTATTTATGGGCACGAGCGCGGTCAGCAAAAAGGACATGCATTCCGATTAATGCCCGCCGCCCCAACAAAGAACAACTGAGCGGCCCTCCGTCAGAGGGCATCTAGCAAGTGGGCGGTCCAACTGAGCGGGCGTTAGAACTAGAACTTTCAGCGGCTGTAGCTCGCTCCTCGCTCGCTGTGGAGTCGCGAGAGTGGGACAGTCTCTTAGCTTGGGGGCTGTACTACTTGCACAAGGAAGGACGACCATGAATTACTTGAGCGCGGGGGCTGTCTTCAAGATGGACACGTGAGCCTTTCGCATTGCACGAGTATACGAAGAGGTGAGAGTGAGCTGCGTGAGCGAGAGCTTTGGGACAAAAAAGACAGAACTGGCTTGTAGGATAATTAACCGAGAAAGTCTATTTGGTGGGGAGGCCCTTTAGATGTCCTGACTCTCCTGCTTTCTTTGAGCAAGACTTCCTTCAGAGATAATTGTAATCGCTTTCTTGTGCAGGACCACGAACCATTATACTTTTGATAAAAGAAGACAACAATTACTTAGAACCATCGAAATAAAAACTGAACTAGAAGGGGGTGATTATCAAAATGTAGTTTACTCTCCGTTTGGTGAGGATTTTGTTCTGAAATATACGACGGCTCGTTCACCCTCAGGAAGGACAATCGCTGCTTTTCATGTACTTTCAAACTTGACTAGTAGCTAAAGTGTGGTGCATTTAACATACTGAATTGATTCTTATCAATGTTACTATTTTAAGAGAATTCGCGAAAGAAAGAGAACGAGTGGAAAATCGGCGGGAGTTTCTGAAACTTCGTCGACAACAGCAGATCGAGCGCGAGCTCAATGGCTACCTCGAGTGGATCATGGCAGCTGAAGAAGTGATTCTCAAAGAAGATCGAACTACTGAAGAGGAGAAGCAAGCCATCCTTGACGGTACATTATTTTACTACTGTAATGACGTCACAAGACTTGATTACCACAACTTTTGTAGGACACAGAGCATTCAGATTCACTTCTTTTCCATGAGGAGAGGTGCAGGTGTGAATAATATTGGCCTGCGCTACCCATTCACAGCTTTCCGTTCCCCCGTACGATGGCTTACTGAAGGCCCTAGTGTTAAATGGGACGTTAAAGACGTCATTCGCGGAACGGAAGGGGCGTGTATGTGCGCCATCTGACGCGACAGAATGCCAAGGCAATATCGTATTACCGTATTCCAGTGAGAAGTAAAAAGTCATTTTGCTACTCTACCTGTGGGTGTTGTTTGGGAGGTCCACACGCACTGTGTCAAGTCAACTAGCTAGGAAGTAAAGTATTACTTTCTGCGCCGCTGCACCGTATCTACGCAATGCTACATATTGTACAACCAGTCGGAGCGGTTTCAGTAGTGAAGGAGCTTAGAGAGCTTACCCGTGGGCCACCACTAGTTACTTTTTTCCTTAATCGATCTAAACGATCACTATTGGTAGAGCAGGTCAGTCAAAGGCGTGTTCGCTCCGCCCTTCCTGGCACCGTCCCCCCCCATGGGGCACGAATTTTTTATTATAAATATGCCCCACAAAGACAAACCGTTCTAGCGGTCTCAAAAAAATCAGCAAAAATAGGTTTCAAACAGAAATGAGATTTTTGCAGGTCGTCGAAGAGCAGAGACAAAGAAGAAGATGAAAGATGCCTCTAAGCAACAGTCAACTGAAACGGAAGAGGACATGGAAGAGGAAGAGGAGGAACTCGACGAGGAGTATCTCGACGAGGGAGGCGAGCCAGGAGAAGATTTCGGTAGAGGCGCGAGTGCTGTGCATGACGTTAACGAGTCGCACGCGTTCTGCTCTATATCGCACCACGTTTCGCCTCTAATGTGCATAGCAATAATAGGGGCTTGATGGGAAGCCATGCAATCAATATATCGATTTATCGCACGTGTGTCGAGTGCGCAGCACAGCAATATTTGGGAGATCGGCTTAGCCATGCCACGTGTTTTTTGCATGTTTGCATGATTTGCAGTTTGCGTGTACTGATGGAGCAGAAATTTTTGTGGGTATCTAAACAGCTATTTTGGGATACTGCAGCAGCACTTGTTACTGTATTCGTCCTGTATGTTTCAGTAAACTAACTGTATTCATTTAGAACGTCGTCGTCGAGGTTGCTATTATGCTATATGTAAGCGAATTCGAAAGGCAAGGTGAGATTAAGCTACCTCGGAGGCAATGGGTGCGCTAGTTTGGCTAGGCTCACAGGGTACTTACTTAGCATACCACAGCGCTTGGAGGGGGCGTGACCATGGCGGATATGGGTTGTTGCCGGTTCGGGCACAGCAGCAGAAACCTTGAGCTAGAGAGAGAGTACACAGCCTTCATACCTGCTTATTTGGACCGGATGTTTACAAACAGTCACCCGTCGGTGCGCTAACATCTGTGCCCGTGGCAACGCCTTCCCCACTTGCAGTGATATGAACACAATGTGTTTGGTAGAAAGGAAAACGGCTTTCACAGGTGATGTATGGCCCTTTGGAAGCGAAGGGCGCGCTCAGAGCGACTTAGCACATCCCAACCGCCCTTTGACCACATCGCACGCTTCTTCCAAGTTGCCGCTGCGACGAGCGGTCTCTAATTGTCTGCGCTCTAGCTCTTGAGCAAAATAAGATGATCACAATTCTAATAACGTCTCATGACTGATGACGGCATGATGGCACTCAAGTCGTTCACCGCTAGAAATCATCCATTGAAATGAGAGCCATATTAGCCTTGCTTCCCAGAATTTTAATTAATTTTCTCCTAAGTCTCGCAGGATTGCGTGACTGTTTGATCTATGGTAGATGGTCCTATTGCGAAACCCTGTGTGCAGACAGCGAGAGGACAGCGGCTGCCGAAGCATCGAGTGGTGTAAAAAAAACATGTTGTGAGCCACGGGAGGGGCTTTTTCAAAGGAAGGGGACTGCTGGGTTGAATGGCGCTCATATATGGGAAAATTTGATTGTGTGAAGCCGCAGTGTCCACAGAGCGCCGGCAGGTAAGAGAGCGCAGAGAAAAACAGAAATTGACGCTTTCAAAGGGATCAGGTTCACCTAGTCCGTGGACCATCTCAAAGTATTTAGACCTCTGCTTCCAGTCATCCAAATTAAATTACCGCCATCCAAATTACCGTACCTGTTGCCTTTAAAGTGAACCTTGTTGAACGTGTCTTCATCAATTTATCGATTATTTTAAACAGAATACAAATGCGGGTAATAGTAAAGACACAAGTATTCTATTGGTCCGTCATCACTTTGGTCTTTCTGAACACGGCATGCGTCGCGTCTGAACATTACGGGCAGCCACCATGGCTCACGAAGTTTTTACGTCAGTTCTTGAGCAAAGCTGTTTTTCAAATACAAATCGATAATCGACGAGTCTAATTGTTGATTTTTCAGAGTATGCTGAGTACGTTTTTCTAGGAATTTTTATTATGGAAGTATTGCTCAAATTATTTGCCATGGGTTCCCGTACCTATTTCGCATCAAAGGTAATTTTCCGAATGTGTCTGGGCTTGTACAGGCAGTACACTTCCAATTTAGTTCAATCGCTTCGATTGCATTGTCATCGTTGGCTCAGCGTTCGAAGTCATTTGGGCTGAAGTTAAAGGCGGATCATTCGGTATTTCAGTGCTGAGAGCGTTACGATTACTCAGGATATTCAAATTAACATCGTGAGTTTTGCCTTAATGATGCCTGAAATTGAGAATTCTCGAAGTTATAACGGAAAAAATCTCACAAGAGTTCAAATATACGTGAAAACACCGATGTAACCGAACGTTACCCGGATCGTTGACCGTTGCAGCTAGCGTCGCCTGTCAGGAGGTGATCCTACTTTCTGAGGTGTAAGGCGCATCTGTGTATTGGGCGCACCTTCGCCTAGAAGTATCCAGTCGTTATCGCTCAGGCCAGTCGGGGTGTGTCAGCGGGGCGTGAGTCCAGTCGCAGTTTCTCTTGCTTTCCAAGAGAAACATACTCTGTCTTATAGCCTTCTGCAAAAAAAGCCCGATGTTTCTCCAGTCAGAAGAATCAACCTCCTTTCTATTCTGATAAGGACTGTTTCAGCAACTGATAAATATTTTACTTCCTTCTGACACAATTCGAGCTCAATAAATACTCAGCGTGTTAACTGAAGTTCGTTCCCTTATTAGGCCCCACTTGCGTGGTATCCGTTTCTTCGACCGAGCAGTTAGGTTTCTTTACCTGGGTAGTGTGTAATCTGCATATTGGCTTTTGCTGACATTGGGAGCGCATTGTTATTGGGCACTTCAAATAAACGAATAAATGAATAAATGAGGGAATTTTCATTGAGGTATGTTTACTTAACCTTATCAACTTATATTGTATAGTGCATCGTACTTCTTCAGGTTAATTCGTTGTCATTACAGTTACTGGGTGTCTCTTCGTAACTTGGTCCGATCGCTGATGAACTCGATGCGAAGTATCATCTCACTATTGTTCCTGCTTTTTCTTTTCATTCTCATCTTTGCTCTACTTGGAATGCAATTATTTGGTGGAAAGTAAGTTATTACATGTTAGCAAATATAAAAAAATCTACTGCTTTTTTCTCTTCTGGTTTTTGCAGCCAGGTGTGGGCCAGGAAGTTCGAATTGCGGCTGCGCAAAGCTGGGTCACCGCATGCGATAATCTCTCATCGCTGTCGTGTCCAGCTTGTATGTGCTGCCCAGCACTACTCGGACTTCCTACTGGTCCAGGTTACTACCACGAAACACGCTGCAGTGCTGCGAGCTATTGTTAGCGCCCATATGGACACCCGCTGATTACTTTGATTCAACCTGTTAACAGGGCGATGAGAACGATAGTTATCTACCAAAAATACCCAACTGGTACAAGCCTTTTGGAGCCACTGTTACTGATTTTGATTCTTTTCAGATTCAACTTCCCCACGATGCATCCCTACACTCATTTTGATACGTTCCCTGTTGCCTTGATTACCGTATTCCAGGTGCGTTCCCGAAAAATTATGGCATAATTTTATCCAATAGGTACTCATAGTACGACAGTTGAATACTTCAAGGCACATCCCAAGGGACCGTCTAGGCGGAGTTTCTTCAGCAACTGCGCACTTCTCATTGGTGGACCCCACGTCCTAAGATGATAAAAAGTAGGTACGCATCAATGGGATAGGCGCAGTGACCTAAGAGATACCGCCCATACGATCTGGCTGGATGTGCCTTGCAGTTAACAAATACTGCCGACTTTACCATATCGTGATGATCGTGCTTGTATTAGATCCTCACCGGTGAAGATTGGAATGAAGTGATGTATCTAGCCATAGAAGCACAAGGTGGTATCTATGGTGGAGGAATGGTGTACTGTATCTACTTCATCGTTTTAGTACTTTTTGGAAACTGTAAGTCCTTCATATATTCTTCCACACATTGCAACTAATTTCTTATGGTCACTTGAAAATCGATAATTGATTCAGACACCCTGCTAAATGTGTTCTTGGCTATCGCCGTCGATAACTTGGCAAACGCTCAAGAGCTCACTGCAGCAGAGGAAGCCGATGAAAAAGCTAACGAAATGGATGATAGTGAGGAGGAAGAGCCAGTGAGTTTCATAAACCCTCAAAGGGCAGATTCTGCGGCAAGTCAATGGGCGGCGGATAAAGAATCATCTCATTGGTACACCGACCTCCCCCATTTCTATCTTAGAAAGAGGAACTCACCAGTGAGGGAGGCACAGTGATTCTCTGTCTCCACCCTCTCAATTAACACGTAACTTGTCTCTAACTGCTAATTACATTCACACCTCTTTTGAATCACTTCAACTACTAGTCAAATACTGCTATTTGCCACATAACCGTGAGTCACGGCTCATATTTCAGCCAGTAGCTGTTTAGAATTACTTGTGTCAAGAAAACAGTGTTTCCTACTTTGTTGTCTACTTGTATTCTGAGTAACGAAGTCTATTTTCAATTACAGGATGGTGATCACTGCGCAATCGATATGGATGGAAACGATCAGGATGACGGTACGTTTACTAAAACATTACGACCCCTTGTAAAAAATAGATTCCGTCAAGTTCAGAAACTGCTAGACCTTAATGCATCAACTCAACTGCTTTACCATCTCTTAGCAAAATACCTATCAGAAATAGCTTCGGGCTCTTCCTCTGACAGGATCGAAGCCGTCCATTTTGGACAGCAGTGTATGCGAAAGCGCTTATGATTGGTGGTTGTGTGGTAGGGACCAATGACAGGTGGTACAATGGTTCCAAGAATCAGACAAACATCTTGGTGGTTCTCCGCGTTTCGCGTAGCGGGTCGTCTATCGAACTTAGAGATCCATTAATTCTTGTTGCTAGCGTTTCCCTCAACTAAAATCAATGCTTATCTCAGAGCAATTTTGTTGATTTCACCATTATATCATGATTGGCTGATTATTTTTCTTGTCCTTGGGTCTCGATATAGTCCTGGCAGCTGGGCTCAGAGTTTACCTCTAGTTGGCGATACCTGCGATAATGAAGGCATGATGTAGGGAAAACTGGCAGGGAAAGAGTATATGTGCAATCAATATCACGACGTCTGAAGGGGCGTGTCCACGGAGGCGGTTCCGGAGGGCAAAGGCGATTGCGTATCTGCAGTTAAGAAACAGGGTTAGAGGTGCTCTTGTGCCATATGTACAGTTTTATGTCCACATTGTCTAGTTCCATGCTTCAAGCAGCAGCAGTTCATCGGCGCTCCAGCCACTGTGTTTATGGACACGCTCTCTCTCTCTCCAGGCGTCGTGATAATAGCTGCATGTAAAAATTAAAGATTTTTCAAAGCCAACATACAGACACAGGAGACGATTTGCTCGGTGGTTACCTTAGATTTACTCAGTGATTACAGTAATATGATCTTTTTCAGATGAAGAGTGTGAAGAGGAAGAGTCACCGTTTGGTGGACCTCGACCGATGGTCCCTTACACATCGATGTTCTTCCTATCTCCATCGAATCCGTATGTTTCATTTATTATTTGGCCTCTAGATATTCACTGAATGCTCCGGTTTAGATTACGCGTTCTTGTCCACAGTATTGTATGTACAAAGTATTTCGAAATGATGGTGATGGGTGTGATTTGTCTGTCATCGATTTCGTTGGCTGCTGAAGATCCCGTCGATGAGGATAATCCCAGGTAGATATTTTTCATAATTCTAGTGTAATATTGCGGGCTAAAAAAGGCCAGTTAGATGACTCATAATTGCACATAGGCGTGGAACTTACTATTTTAGGAACAAAGTGCTCCAGTACATGGATTACTGTTTCACTGGCGTTTTCGCATGCGAAATGCTTTTGAAGGTGAGCTGAGCGATAGATTCGTTGTAATTTGTGACAAATGGATGGCACGCAGTGCGTGCGAAGGGAGCTTGTAATTGGTGAAGTGCCTGCGTTAACCAATCAGCAGCTTTCGCGCTCTAGTCTTTCACGGCACGACTGTAACAGAAGCCCCAATTAGTCATGTGACTAGTGAGAAGGTCAGCGCCGAATTCCACAGCTGTTAATTCGATCAATAATCGCAGGAGAGCCGCTTCGCGCTCCATCCTACTACATCGGTGGACCAAAACAGCTGCATTGTGACTCAAGCTCCTCAAGGCGACTCACCATTCCCGATATTGGACTAGGAGAAGTACTGATCATCTAGCATCAATGGCATTACCTAGGACCGAGTCTGCTCGTCTCCGCCCTCTCACTGAGACACGAAGAGAGCGCAGACGAGCAGCATTAGCCGGGTCCCTTAACAAGGTCAGGGTGCTGACATAGTTTACCAGTGCACGTTCCCAAAAATCCGGTCTCTTCCCAAAAAAATCGAGGCTTATGCTCGCGAAAGACTCTTTTATGCAAGCTTACCCCGCGGCGGCGCCTTTGGTCGTCTGCGCTCTAAGCCTAAGCCTCGGTAAGGGGAAGGGACATAGAGGTGCAGCCGCGTGTCCCGGCTCAACTATTTTAACACCGAGGTTACTCCTGAAGTTTGAAATTTTTATTGTGAACTTCCATTCGCTGATTGCCTGACTATTTTTACTTCAGCTAATCGATCAAGGGATCATACTTCATCCTGGCTCATACTGCCGTGATTTTTGGAACATCCTTGACGGCGTTGTTGTCACATGTGCTCTTGTTGCATTTGGTTTCGCGTGAGTAGAACTATTAAGTATTTTCCTTTTTTTACTACTTGCTTTTAC